TGTTGGAAGTGTAGCAGGTAAATATTTAGTGAAGGGATCTGGGGAAACCAGTTATTTTCATATAGTCGACTTAGACCCTGGAAATGGAAGTACAATTCCTGCACTTTAAAGGAGGGGTTTGGGATACTGGCAGTTTGGAGGGATATGTTTTGTGTATCTTTATATGTTTTATGCTTTCTTAGACTGTGTAATTCCTGAGCACCTCTCAAAAACAGTGATAATGTGCGAGTGTGGTGAAAGTGTTTGAATGATGATGAAAGTATTTTCTTTTGGGGATTTTCCTTTCTTTTTTTGGGTCCCCTGCCTTCGGTGGGAGACGGCCGACTTGTGAAAAAAAAAAAAAAAAAAAAAAAAATATAATATATATTTCTTCTTATTCTTTTTAGTAATCTTTACAGGAAAAGGGGGTTACTAGACCATTGTTCCCCGCAATTTTTAGTTGACTTTTACAACACGCCATGGCTTACGGAGGAAAGATTCTTATTCCACTACCCATGATTATAAAAGGAAAAGTAATAAGAACAAGAACTATTAAGATAAAATCAAAGAAAACTCAGATGAAGTGTGGTATAAATAAACGTTCCATGTATGTGTAGTGGTGACCTAAGTGTAGTAGAATAGCAAGACGACTCGAATCTTGCATATTTATGAGACAGACAAAAGACACCAGCAATCCTACCATCATGGGGGGGGGTAAAACACTTACAAGGCTTACGTTTTACAGCTCACTTGGCAGGACGGTAGTACCTCCCTGGTGTTGCTGTTGCGTATCTCTATACGTATAGTGCTTTTAAACTGTTATATTCTGAGCATCTCTGCAAAAGCAGTGAAATTTGTGAGTGGGTGAAAGTGTTGAATGATGATGAAGTTTTTTCTTTTGGGGATTTTTCTTTCTTTTTTTGGTCACCCTGCCGTCGGTGGGAGACGACCGACTTGTTGAAAAAAAAAAAAAAAAAAAAAAAAAAAAAAAAAAAAAAAACAAAAAAAAATTATATATATATAAATATATATATATAATATATATATATATTATTAAATAATATATATATATATATATATATAAATATATATATAATATATAGATATATATATATACAAAAATAAATAATATAAATATATTATAAATTATATACAATTATATATATATATTATATATATAATATATAATATATATATAAAAAAAATATATAATATATATATTATAATATATATAATATAATATAAATCTAACTATAAATATATATATAAATATATAAATAAAAATCTATAATATATATAAATATATCTATATAAATATATAAATATTATATATATATAATATATATGGTAGTAGGTTGGTAGACAGCAACCACCCAGGAGGTGGCACTAACCGTCCCTGCCAAGTGAGTGTAAAACCGAAGCCTGTGATTGTTTTACATGATGGTAGGATTGCGATGTCTTTTGTCTGTCTCATAAATATGCAAGAATTACAGGCAACTGTCTTGCTACTTCTACTTACACTTAGGTCACACCACACATACATGTACACATTTATTTATACACACTCATCTGAGTTTTCTTTGATTTTATCTTAATAGTTCTTGGTCTTATTAATTTTTCCTTTATATCCATGGGGAATGGAATAAGAATCTTCCTCCGTAAGCCATGCGTGTTGTAAAAGTCAACTAAAATGCCGGGAACAATGGGCTAGTAACCCCTTTTCCTGTAAAGATACTAAAAAGAATAAGAAGAAGAAAATTGTCAAAGTGGAAGTCTGAATGTGCGTGGATGTTGTGCAGATGATAAGAAAGAGATGATTGTGGATGTTATGAATGAGAAGAAGCTGGATGTCCTGGCTCTAAGTGAAACAAAGCGAAGGGGGTGGGAGAGTTTCAGTGGAGAGGAATAAATGGAATTAGGTCAGGGGTTTCAAATAGAGTTAGAGCTAAAGAAGGAGTAGCAATAATGTTGAAGGATAAGCTATGGCAGGAAAAGAGGGACTATAAATGTATTAATTCAAGGATTATGTGGAGTAAAATAAAGATTGGATGTGAAAAGTGGTTATAATAAGCGTGTATGCACCTGGAGAAGAGAGAAGTGTAGAGGAGAGAGAGAGATTTTGGGAAATGTTGAGTGAATGCGTGGGGAGTTTTGAATCAAGTGTGAGAGTAATGGTGGTTGGGGATTTCAATGCTAAAGTGGGTAAAAATGTTATGGAAGGAGTAGTAGGTAAATTTTGGGGTGCCAGGGGTAAATGTAAATGGGGAGCCTTTAATTGAGCTATGTGTAGAAAGAAATTTGGTAATAAGTAATACATATTTTATGAAAAGAGGATAAATAATATACAAGGTATGATGTAGCACGTAATGAAAGTAGTTTATTAGATTATGTATTGGTGGATAAAAGGTTGATGGGTAGGCTCCAGGATGTACATGTTTATAGAGGGGCAACTGATATATCGGATCATTATTTAGTTGTAGCTACAGTTAGAGTAAGAGGTAGATGGGAAAAGAGGAAGGTGGCAACAACAAGTAAGAGGGAGGTGAAAGTGTATAAACTAAGGGAGGAGGAAGTTCGGGTGAGATATAAGCGACTATTGGCAGAAAGGTGGGCTAGTGCAAAGATGAGTAGTGGGGGGGTTGAAGAGGGTTGGCATAGTTTTAAAAATGCAGTATTAGAATGTGGGGCAGAAGTTTGTGGTTATAGGAGGGTGGGGTGCAGGAGGAAAGAGGAGTGATTGGTGGAATGATGAAGTAAAGGGTGTGATAAAAGAGAAAAAGGTAGCTTACGAGAGGTTTTTTACAAAGCAGAAGTGTTATAAGAAGAGCAGAGTATGTGAGAGTAAAAGAAAGGTGAAGAGAGTGGTGAGAGAGTGCAAAAGGAGAGCAGATGAAAGAGTGGGAGAGGCACTGTCAAGAAATTTTAATGAAAATAAGAAAAAATTTTGGAGTGAGTTAAACAAGTTAAGAAAGCCTAGGGAAAGTATGGATTTGTCCGTTAAAACAGAGTAGGGAGTTAGTAGATGGGGAGAGGGAGGTATTAGGTAGACGGCGAGAATATTTTGAGGAACTTTTAAATGTTGAGGAAGAAAGGGAGGCGGTAATTTCATGCACTGGCCAGGGAGGTATACCATCTTTTAGGAGTGAAGAAGAGCAGAATGTAAGTGTGGTGGAGATACGTGAGGCATTACGTAGAATGAAAGGGGGTAAAGCAGCTGGAACTGATGGGATCATGACAGAAATGTTAAAAGCAGGGGGGGATATAGTGTTGGAGTGGTTGGTACTTTTGTTTAATAATGTATGAAAGAGGGGAAGGTACCTAGGGATTGGCGGAGAGCGTGTATAGTTCCTTTATATAAAGGGAAAGGGGACAAAAGAGATTGTAAAAAATTATAGAGGAATAATTTACTGAGTATACCAGGAAAAGTATACGGTAGAGTTATAATTGAAAGAATTAGAGGTAAGACAGAATGTAGAATTGCGGATGAGCAAGGAGGCTTCAGAGTGGGTAGGGATGTGTAGATCAAGTGTTTACATTGAAGCATATATGTGAACAGTATTTAGATAAAGGTAGGGAAGTTTTTATTGCATTTATGGATTTAGAAAAGGCATATGATAGAGTGGATAGAGGAGCAATGTGGCAGATGTTGCAAGTATATGGAATAGGTGGTAAGTTACTAAATGCTGTAAAGAGCTTTTATGAGGATAGTGAGGCTCAGGTTAGGGTGTGTAGAAGAGAGGGAGACTACTTCCCGGTAAAAGTAGGTCTTAGACAGGGATGTGTAATGTCACCATGGTTGTTTAATATATTTATAGATGGGGTTGTAAAAGAAGTAAATGCTAGGGTGTTCGGGAGAGGGGTGGGATTAAATTATGGGGAATCAAATTCAAAATGGGAATTGACACAGTTACTTTTTGCTGATGATACTGTGCTTATGTTGTGATATGTTGTGTATCTTTATACGTATATGCTTCTAAACTGTTGTGTTCTGAGCATCTCTGCAAAAACAGTGATTATGTGTGAGTGAGGTGAAAGTGTTGAATGATGATGAAAGTATTTTCTTTTTGGGGATTTTCTTTCTTTTTGGGTCACCCTGCCTCGGTGGGAGATGGCCGACTTGTTGAAAAAAAAAAAAAAAAAATGCTTTTGAACTGTTGTATCTGGGTGCCTCTGCAAAAACAGTGATTATGTATGAGTGAGGTGAAAGTGTTGAATGATGATGAAAGTATTTTCTTTTTAGGAATTTTCTTTCTTTTTGGGTCACCCTGCCTTGGTGGGAGATGGCCGACTTGTTGAAAAAAAAAAAAAACGTTTAGTGTGATCTGAGTGTAAGATGAAGTAGCAAGACGTACCTGACATCTTGCATGTTTATGAGACAGAAAAAAAAGACACCAACAACCCTACCATTGTGTAAAGCAATTACAGGCTTTCGTTTTACACTCACTAGGCAGGACGGTAGTGCCTCCCTGGGCAGTTGCTGTTTACCAGCCTACTACCTCGTGTAAAGATTTCTTTCTTTCTTTCAACACACCGGCCGTATCCCACCGAGGCGGGGTGGCCCAAAAGGAATAACGAAAGTTTCTCCTTTTACACTTAGTAATATATACAGGAGAAGGGGTTACTAGCCCCTTGCTCCCGGCATTTTAGTCGCTTCTTACAACACACATGGCTTACGGAGGAAGAATTCTGTGTGTAAAGATTTATCTTCATTACAGTGGACCCCCGGTTAACGAACTTTTTTCATTCCAGTAGTATGTTCAGGTGCCAGTACTGACCGAATTTTTTCCCATAAGGAATATTGTGAAGTAGATTAGTCCATTTCAGACCCCCAAACATACACGTACAAACGCACTTACATAAATACACTTACATAATTGGTCGCATTTGGAGGTGATCGTTAAGCGGGGGTCCACTGTATTTAGGTTAGTTGTGAATTAAACTTCATTGCTATTAAACCAATGCATGACATGAATTCACACTTAAGAACAAATTAACTGGATAATAATACTGATGCTTAATACCTTCAAGATTCGTTGATCCACTGCTGACATTGAGGCTTCATATGCCCCTAACAAGATGGGAATGTGGTACTCTCGACACACACACTCTTCACATTCTACAAGGGTTTGCTGCAAGGCAATTACTTGCTCTGTCAAGTGCAAATACTGTTAGCAATGGCTCTGTAAAAGTTATTTGCTTACAAAGTTTATTTGTACTGTAATAAATTATTTTTTGGCATTAACTACTAATCATCTCAATAATAAATGATAAATAAAAAAATAATTCTTAAACAGTGTATAGAATGAAGTTTTACCTATCTTCCCTTTTAAATTTGGACCTTGCATACTATCATGGATTCATCATGTTATACAGAAGTACTGTAAAATAAAATATTTTACAGCATATCAAGTCTTACCTTTAAGTCTCCCCCATATTTTTGCTTTGTTGAACATGAGAGGCAGGTATTGTGTATGTGCTATGATCAGTTGATAGAGGGTAGTTACAGGCAGGATATTCTTCTCTTCATTCAATTTCCTTTGGCTTTCTTTTTTATACAGAACTTCACACAAGAGACTTAAAATATGTAGCAGCTGAGGACCTAAGTTCTGGTCACCTAGACCAATCCGCAGTACCTGCAAATAATTTTTATAGAAGTATATCCACATAAAGAACATGTAATTTTATGTGATGAAGACTTGGCTCACCCTAGTGGAAAAACAAGCCAGTATATTCACTATAATAAATGGTTCTGAATGATGAAAAAGGCACTAAGGACATAATCCACTCATTAAATGCACAACACTCAACAAGGGTCTATTTTGTGCCTGAGCACTTAGTGTAGGCCTCATTTGTATGTTATTCATGGCCAGCTTCCTCTGGAGAGACTTAGTGTGCATGGAGCTATAGCTAGCAACAAATACAAAACAGATGTGTGGGCCTCAAAGGACTAAACAAAAATGCTTTTTCACCCTTCTTGTGATGGGGGCTAATAGGGTCCCACCAATGCTTTCTAAAGCCCAATTCTCTTCTCTCTGGACATTCTTTATGAATGTCAATATAAAAAATATCCTGCCTCACATGGTGCGTGATGGGAAAAAGAAAGCTCTGACCTTGTGTTTAGCATAAAAAAATGACTGATGTGTCTTCTAAAACAGCTGTTATGGTTCTGTTGGCTGTTTCTTGGTATATTTGACAGAATGTAAGATTTTTTTTTTAATAAGTTGGCCATCTCCCACTGAGGCAGGGTGACCCAGAAAGAAAGAAAATCCCCAAAAAGAAAATACTTCCATCATTCAACACATTCACCTCACTCGCACATAATCATTGTTTTTGCAGGTGCTCAGAATACAACAGTTTAGAAGCATATATGTATAAAGATACATAACATATCCCTCCAAACTGCCAATATCCCAAACCCCTCCTTTAAAGTGCAAGCATTGTAATTCCCATTTCCAGGACTCAAGTCCGACTATATAAAAATAACCGGTTTCCCTGAATCCCTTCATTATTACCCTGCTCGCACTCCAACAGCTCGTCAGGTCCCAAATACCATTCGTCTCCATTCACTCCTGTCTAACATGCTCACGCACACTTGCTGGAAGTCCAAGCTCCTCGCCCACAAAACCTCCTTTACCCCCTTCCTTGAACCTTTTCGAGGACGACCCCTACCCCGCCTTCCTTCCCCTACAGATTTATACGCTCTCCATGTCATTCTACTTTGATCCATTCTCTTTAAATGACCAAACCACCTTAACAACCTCTCTTCAGCCCTCTGACTAACACTTTTATCAACTCCGCACCTCCTAATTTCCACACTCTGAATTTTCTGCATAATATTTACACCACACACTGCCCTTAGACAGGACATCTCCACTGCCTCCAACCGCCTCCTCGCTGCAGCATTTACAACCCAAGCTTCACACCCATATAAGAGTGTTGGTACTACTATACTTTTATACATTCCCTTCTTTGCCTCCATAGATAATGTTTTTTGTCTCCACATATACCTCAACACACCACTCACCTTTTTTCCTTCATCAATTCTATGATTAACCTTATCTTTCATAAATCCATCTGCTGACATCTCAGCTCCCAAATATCTGAAAACATTAACTTCTTCCATACTCCTCCTCCCCAATTTGAAATCCAATTTTTCTTTATTTAAATCATTTGATACCCTCATCACCTTACTCTTTTCTACGTTCACTTTCAACTTTCTACCTTTACACACACTCCTAAACTCGTCCACTAACCTTTGTAAGTATTCTTTAGAATCTCCCATAAGCACAGTATCATCAGCAAAAAGTAACTGTGTCAATTCCCATTCTGTATTTGATTCCCCAAAATTTAATCCCACCCCTCTCCCGAACACCCTAGCATTTACTTCTTTTACAACCCCATCTATAAATATATTAAACAACCATGGTGAAATTACATATCCCTGTCTAAGACCTACTTTTACCGGGAAGTAGTCTCCTTCTCTTCTACACACCCTAACCTGAGCCTCACTATCCTCATAAAAACTCTGTACAGTATTTAATAACTTACCACCTATTCCATATACTTGCAACATCTGCCACATTGCTCCCCTATCCACACTATCATATGCCTTTTCTAAATCCATAAATGCAATAAAAACTTCCCTACCTTTATCTAAATACTGTTCACATATATGCTTCAATGTAAACACTTGATCTACACATCCTCTACCCACTCTGTAACCTCCTTGCTCATCCACAATCCTACAATCTGTCTTCCCTCTAATTCTTTCAGTAATAACCCTACTGTACACTTTTCCTGGTATACTCAGTAAACTTATTCCTCTATAATTTTTACAATCTCTTTTGTCCCCCTTCCCTTTATATAAAAGGACTATACATGCTCTCTGCCAATCCCTAGGTACCTTCCCCTCTTTCATACATTTATTAAACAAAAATACCAACCACTCCAACACTATATTAACCCCCTGCTTTTAATATTTCCGTCATGATCCTGTCAGTTCCAGCTGCTTTACCCCCTTTCATTCTATGTAATGCCTTACGCACCTCCCCCACACTCACATTCTGCTCTTCTTCACTGGCCAGGGAGGTATACCATCTTTTAGAATGGAAGATATACTACTGAAATAGAGATGACATTGGTTAGTTTCAGTATCAGAAGTACAGTGGACCCCCGGTTAACGATATTTTTTCACTCCACAAGAATGTTCAGGTGCCAGTACTGACCGAATTTGCTCCCATAAGAAATATTGTGAAGTAGATTAGTCCACTTCAGACCCCCAAACATACACGTACAAACGCACTTACATAAATACACTTACATAATTGGTCACATTCGGAGGTAATCGTTATGCGGGGGTCCACTGTAGTTGGAAACTGGGCTCAAAGTAGTGGAAATATTAGATTTGTGTCAATTGCATGATGATTTGTAAGGCTTCCCCCCTTCCCCCTGGTATATTTTATGGGCTTTTACTAGGTCTGATTCCATTATTAGAACATCATAAATTGTGATGAATCATTCCTGGTTATATTTTATTATCTGACAACTAGGGGAAAAAGGAAAAAAAAATTACAAAAGTGTTTCTTCTTTTTTGGGTTACCCTGCTTCGGTTGGAGACAGCCGATGTGTAAAAAAAAAAAAAAAAAAAAAAAAGGGTAATCTTTGATTTTTTGTGATGAATTCAAACTGGTGTGCAAGCGTAATATAAAAGAGGCCTGAGGAAATATTTCTTTAGTGTCTGAAATGTCTACAGTGTTTATTTTGGAATCTCTAAATTGAATTTTTTTTAATTTTGTGCAGAACTGGCCAAATTTCTACCTTCTTTGCACTTTATAGGGTAGTTCCAATACTGGAATGGGAGGATTCTAGTGCTAATCCTAATGATTCATAAAACTGCACATTAAGTAGCTTTTACTCTTCGAAATGAAGAAATCTGAAAAAATTACTAAAATAAGTAAAAGTAAAAATTGCCAGACATTAGGAGAGATTCACATTGTTTTCTTTTGCTTGAGCACAAAAAAAATTATTTGCTAGTTTATAATTTTAATAGGAGTATCTGACTATCAAAAATAAAAATGAGTGTTAAAAGTGCTGACAGTGGAAAAAACTAACCTGTTTTACAAAAGATGGCCACAGTTTGTTGGTGGCCAGGGTACTTCGGAGTGAGTGTTCATCAAGTTTGGGAAGAATTTTGTTTATAATTTTAGACACATTCATCAACTGGCTGGTATTCCGTAGCTCTTTCTGGTAAGTGCTTTGAATGTACTTTAAACATATATGTAGTAATGCTATATGTTCTTCTGGCAGATCAAATTTGGGCAGTATTGGCCCAACTTCAGACAACTTATAAAAAACTGGAATTAAAGCTAACAACTTAGGTGGAGATTGCCTTTTAGTGATGACCTTCTCATAAAGCTGGCAGCAGATCTTGGACATACAATTCTCATCTGTAACATTCAATACTTAAATATATAACAATCAGTCTGCAGTGGAAGGAAGGCGGGGTAGGGGTCGGCCTAGGAAAGGTTGGAGGGAGGGGGTAAAGGAGGTTTTGTGTGCGAGGGGCTTGGACTTCCAGCAGGCACGCGTGAGCGTGTTTGATAGGAGTGAATGGAGACAAATGGTTTTTAATACTTGACGTGCTGTTGGAGTGTGAGCAAAGTAACATTTATGAAGGGGTTCAGGGAAACCGGCAGGCCGGACTTGAGTCCTGGAGATGGGAAGTACAGTGCCTGCACTCTGAAGGAGGGGTGTTAATGTTGCAGTTTAAAAACTGTAGTGTAAAGCACCCTTCTGGCAAGATAGTGATGGAGTGAATGATGGTGAAAGTTTTTCTTTTTCGGGCCACCCTGCCTTGGTGGGAATCGGCCAGTGTGATAATAAAAAAAAAATAAAACCTAGGTACAAGAAGATATGGATTTAGAATGCATAAAATATTTAAAAATACAGTGGAACCTCTACTTGTGAGCGTATCCATGTGCGAGTTTTTCCAAATACAAGCAGTTGATTGGTCGATTTTTTGCTTCCATACGATAGCGAAATTTCCATAAGCGAGCAGGCCTCAAGGGAGGTTCCTTGACGCTGGTGAGGGGCTTTTGCTCTTGATCTAGGGAAGTGGATCTTATTTGTTTGTTGGACTATCTTATTGAAACTTGGGCAATGTATGATGGAAAGATGCTTCTTAATGTACACCAAAAAATGAAAGAAATTGGACCATAAATAAAGGAGTTCACTTCTCAGCAATTGGCCTCCTCTTAGTGGTATTTTTGTATGGTTTTTATGGCTGTATTCTCGTTTTTTATGGTCTCATTTGACAGAATGAAAGATATATCTTGATTGGTTTCACGACGAAAAGTACCTTGAAACTGAGCTCAAAGTAGGAGAAATGTTTGATTCTTTGGTGATGTTAAGAGTCAACAAATGACCATTCCAATATGCAGTCGTAAATGGGTTGACATTATTTATACAATTATTACAATAATGCAGTAGTCTGCATAACAGTAAATCTATTTTTTGTGTGAATAAAAATTACAAATTATTTACATTGTAATAATAGTAATAATAATAATAAGTATAATAATAATAGTATGTATAATAATATTAATACAATATGTAAAATAATAATACATGTACAATAATAATGTACTATATAATAATAATTATAATAAAAGGCTTCAAAAGGCCATCACTAGATGGCAGTGTTTACCACAACAAAGCGGGAGCGGTTGTGGCCGCCTCCACCTGTTACATGGTGACATATTTTATTCATTCTAGAGTATATATCAGGTTTCTGTTATTTATATTGTTTATTATGTCATATTAGATGAACTGTGATAGATAAATAAGGCATATAGATGATATTAGTGAAATTATTCAAGGAGTACAGTATTTTGTCTGGTCTCTGGACAAACTCTCATCAGTTGACAATACCACTACATGAATGACATATTTTATTCATTCTAGAGTATATATCAGGTTTCTATGTTATCTATATCGTTTATTATATCATATTAGATGAATTTTGATAGATAAATAAGCCGTAGAGTTGATATTAGAGAAATTATTGAAGTACAGAATTCCACTGGAACAGATTAATTGCATTTCAATTAATTTAAATGAGGAAAATTGACTCTGCAAAAGAGCAAATCCAGATGCGAGCAAGGTCATGGAATGGATTAAACTCGTGAGTAGCGGTTCCACTGTATAGAGAATACAGCAAACCCTATATATAACAAAGTAATCAAGGGGAAGTGGGTGGCAGGTGGCTAATAATGGCAGCTGTGGTGGATAGTGATGAGACTGTTGGGTCATGATTTGACCATTGTTTCCAGATCAAAAAACCAAGTGGATTTTGTTTTGTATTTCCAAAGTTTATTATATGAAGGATTTACTGTATTAAAACATGTATTATCAGATATTGTATAAATATCCTACATACACACAGGTAGACAGAAAGACACACAGGTAGACATAAAGACAGACACACACACACAGGTAGACAAAAACAGACACACAAGCAGACAAACAGACACACAGGTAGACAGACAGACACACAGAGATACAGACAGACACAGATATACAGGCAGACAGATACTGACAGGCTTATGTGCAACAGTGAAAACAAACAGAGTTGGAGAGTAAGAGCCTTTCTTGCCACAATCTCCAGTGCAAGATTCAGACTTCATCTTAGGGGTCATGGTAAAATTTACTGTCCAGTTAGTACAGTTATACAGTATGATGCTGCTGATAGGGCAGGGTTACTCAAACTGATGCAGCCTGCATGACGCATTGCCGCCGCCACAAGTATTGTCAAATATTGTATAGTGGTGTGCATCAGCCGGCCCAGCCCAACTGCCAGATGCACGGTCGTAAGCCAAGTGGACGTATGTCGAGCAGGTCGTAAGTTGGATGGTAGTATATTGTTTGTTATGTCATATTAGATGAACTGTGATAGATAAATAAGCCGTATAGATGATATTAGCAAAAATATTCATGAAGTATTTTGCGTGGTCTCCAGACAAACTCTCATCCACCGCCGACACCACCCATACCACTACATGAATGACATTTTATTCATTTTAGAGTATATATCAGGGTTTCTATGTTATTTATATTGTTTATTATGTCATATTAGATGAATTGAGATAGATAAATAAGCTGTAGAGTTGATATTAGCGAAATTATTGAAGTACAGAATTCCAGTGGAACGGATTAATTGCATTTCAGTTAATTTAAATGAGGAAAATTGACTCTGCAAATGAGCAAATCCAGCTGCGAGCAAGGTCATGGAACAGATTAAACTCGCACGTAGAGGTTCCACTGTATTATCATTATTATTAGTACGTAAGTATTATAATAATAATAATATTAATAATAATTATTAATTTAGGGACCTGGAGCACAGCTCCAATTCATTCCCTAGATCAAGAGCCCCTCACCACATAAGGTGTATACTACTACTACTACGTGTACTACTACTACTACTACTACTACTAATAATAATAAATTATTATTATTATAACAATAATAATACAATATAATAGTACAGTAGACCATCATTTAGCATGAGTTTATTTGACACAATTTGGGTATAGCATGATTGAAGAATTGCGGCACAATTTTATGTAACACATCGTATGATGAATTTAACATGGCTCAGTTTGCAGGAAGGAAAAAAAAAAACTTCCCTTTTCCTCAAGCGGCCACCTTGTTGTGCTTCAGCAGGGGAGACTTCCTGCCGTTTCCAGCCACCCCGACACAACCCCACCATCCCAGTATTTGTACTTCATATGTGTCCAGTCCAACTTCTCTGCTACAAGCTTGTGATTGTGAATTGTGTTTTGAAATTTTAATTGTACACCTACCAACCGACTTACGACCTGCTCGACTTACGACCACTCGACTTACGACCGTGTTTTTTATGCCAAATTTCTGGGAAATAAACAACTATTTGTGTTGTACACAGTGTTTATCCTGAACCTTACAGTATAAAATACAGTACTAACAACATAAAAAGTAAAGTAAAACATGAAATACCAAAATAAAACAATAAAATAAAGACATTACAAAATGTTTTGTTGATATTCAGTAGTAAAGTTCGACTTACGACCATTTCGACTTACGACCTTTTTCTCGGAACCGAACTCGGTAGTAAGTCGGATGGTAGGTGTATCTGCTATTGCAACCCCTGAATGGGTCACAATGTATATAATGTATATTACCTTTCCATATAATTTTATATTGCTTATATTTGCGATAATAGCTAAATCGTAAATATACTGCTTTATATTATTATTTGGCTTAGTTATATTGTTAGGTAGGATGTAACATTCATATATTATGTGCTCATAGCTCAAGTCTTGATTGTCTAACTACTGTAATTATCGCTCGTGGCTCATTACTCTGCCGGCTTCTCGGTGTTGCTGGGCAGCAACAGTCCACGGAGCTATCACGTGATCGAGGGGGGAGTGTTCACACCTCTCCTGGAGTAGTTAGTCTGGGCTAGACTCTCTTGGTGGTTGGACGTGTTCCTGACAAGACGTGCCTAACTCTCCCTTACTGGCCCTTGTTGGAAGATCGTCTCTGTCGCTTTATTGTTGTAGGTTATGTGGAACTCTGTTCACAGAACATCGTCTAGACTTAGTGATTTTCGACACTGTACTGAGGTTGTGTCGCATAGACACTCTGAGCAACTCAGGTCCTGAGCTGTAGCTTCTGACCTAATTTGTACTGGTATCTGTGTACTGTCACAGTCGGGTATTTTCTTATGCTTAACTTTGATTCAGTAGTATGGGAGATTGGTGACTTTTGAGGAAGATCTGCAGATGGTCCCTACTTAGTGTTATATTATCTCCTTGTTCCCGATTCTGTGTCGCAGTTGCTTGTTACATGTATTGCTATTGGGCTTAGCAGTCATTTTATTGTTCAAGCAAGCTGTTCTGATTGTCAGGTGGTCAAGAAGTTAGTTGATGTGAGGACATTGTCAGTCACTGGTTTAAGTCTAGTCGAGTTTTGAGACATAACGAACTACTTAAAGCACTTACACACATACACACAAACTTACTTGTACACATTAGTATATATTTATTTATTATCACACTGGCCGATTCCCAGCAAGGAAGGGTGGCCCGAAAAAGAAAAACTTTCACCATCATTCACTCCATCACTGTCTTGCCAGAAGGGTGCTTTACACTACAGTTTTTAAACTGCAACATTAACCCCTTCAGGGTCCAAGGCCCAAATCTGAAGTGGTGCCCCAGTGTCCAAGAATTTAAAAAAAAAAAAAAATTTGTTATTTTTTCTTATGAAATGGTAGAGAATCTTTTTGTGAGGGTAATAAAACAAAAAGTACGAAATTTGATGGAAAATTGACGAAATTATGCTCTCGCGAATTTTGATGTGTCAGCGATATTTACGAATCGGTGATTTTGCCGACTTTGACTCCCAT